CACACACACACTCCCAAGAGGTGCTGGGAAGCAGCCTTGCTCTCCAGTGGCACCACTGGGATGTGAGCTCAGGGATACAGGGTTGTTTTGCCTCCTGCTGCCATGGTGAGTGAGCGGGGCCCTGACCCATGGTGCTGGGACCAGAAATCCTGCAGGAAGCATCGCTCGGGGTGGGGGCGGGGGAAGGAGGAGAGTTGGGGCAAGGGTGGGATTGGGGAAAGAGGCAGCCACAGGAGCAGGAAGAGGTTGTACAAGCACAGAGCAGGGGGAAGGCTTGGGGGCAGGGTGGGAGTGGGGGGGGGGTGGGGACTGAGAGGGGTTGTCCAGTGTCCTGCGCCCCGTTGGGGATAGTAGCACCCTGCTGGAGTTGCCAGGGGCATGTTAGATACACTTGGGGGCTGGGAGTTCCCCAGTGTGTGTGGGAGAGGGAGAGAGGCAGATGGATGGACGGACGGGTCTATATGGCGATTGCCAGACACACGGCCTGTAATCCTGGGGCTGGAGTTGATGACAACACAGACATGCGAGAACATTCTGGTCCCCAGCTGCCTGTCACCCCCTCCCTGCAGGCGGCCCTCCAGGATCTGACCCAAGGCAGAGCTCTGTTCTGGGTGGGACTGTCCGTCCCCTCCCCGGAGAAGGGCTGGACCTGGCTGGATGGATCCCGGCTGGATCAGACCCGGTGAGTGATTCCTTCAGGCACTTTCCCTCCCTGCTGTGGGTACAAGCGGCTGGGGCCAGAGGAGGCCCAGGGAAGTCGGGAGCTCGGGGGAGCCGTGTTCAGTGTCCAGGGAGTCCAGCTGAGAGGGGGGCAGGGTGGGAGCAGACGGGGCCGTGGGTCAGGGAGTGATTGTGCGTCCCCCAGGGGAGCCGTGTTCAGTGTCCAGGGAGTCCAGCTGAGAGGGGGGCAGGGTGGGAGCAGACGGGGCCGTGGGTCAGGGAGTGATTGTGCGTCCCCCAGCCCAGAGATGGCGGATGGATCCCTGGGGAGGTGGCCCAGAGATGGGGCATGGAGGGAGAAGAACAAAGGGGACAGGCCAGAGCCCTGGGAATCTCCAGAGAATGGGGCAGGGGAAGGGCAGACGGAGCAGCCAGAGGCAGGAGGGGGAAGGGAGGGAGTGGGGATGGTGCGGGAACAGAGCAAGGACGGGGAGTGGTGGGGCTGGGAGGAGCCAGGGGCAGGAGGGAGCTGGGCAGGGCCTAGCACAGCAGTCAGGAGGGGGCTGCAGCAGGTCCCTGGGCTCTGGGAAGGGAGAGGCCATTAGAGTCCCAGGGCAGTGCTTGGGAGAGGCAGCCCCAGGGCAGAGCTGGAGGGGAGGGGAGCGCAGGCTGGGGGCAGATCCTGTTAGCACAGGGAAGAGCTGCCGCCGAGTGAATGTGACGGACCTGCAGGCACTGACAGGGGCCCTCTCCTGTGTCCCGCAGGCTCCCGGTGCCAGGCCCGGCCGAGGGGAGCAGCTGTGGGACGGTGAAGGGGAAACAGATTGGTTCAAAAAGCTGCAGCTCTGGACTCCAATGGATTTGCCAAGGAGACGCCGTCCTGCTCTGAGCCAGGCACAGAGGAGACCTCCGAGGGCGGCTCCATTATCCCTATGTCACGCTGGAGGAAACTGAGTCACAGACACTGTCCTGCCCAAATCACACGAGAATTGGTGGCAATGTGAGACATGGAACCCGGGCATCCCGGCTCCCAGCCCTACCTCAGCCTGTAGAAGCGAGTCCAAGCTCTGCCTTGGTAATAATAAGAAAAGCCAAAAGGGAGTTTGAAGAGCAGCTAGCCCAAAACTCCAAAAGTGATAGCAAAATATTTTTTAAGTACATCAGAAGCAGGAAGCTGGATAAACAACCTGGATGATCGAGATGCTAAAGGAGCACTCAAAGATGATAAAGTCATTGCAGAGAAGCTAAATAAATTCTTTGCTTCAGTCTTCCCAGAGATTTGAGATTCCCAAACCAGAGCCATTCTTGTTGGGAGACAAATCTGAGGAATTGTCCCTGCTTGAGATGTCTTTAGAGGAGGTTTTGAAACAAATTGATAAACTAAACAGGAACAAGTCACTGGGACCGGATGGCATTCGCCCAAGAGTTCTGAAAGAACTCAAATGTGAAATTGCAGAACTATTAACTGTGGTGTTGTGAAGGCTGATTCCCCGCTCTGGCATGATAAATGCAGAAGTGTGGGCCCACAAAAGCAACCCCAAAACTGTATCTTTCCAGGCTTTGGTACAAAACTTCCCCACCCCAAATCCTAAAAACCTAGATTTTGGTGATAAAAATCCGCTGCCACCATCAAGTGCTTTTGAACCCACAAACAGGTGCACGCTTGAAACCAACTGCACGGCACCCCAAGTTCTTTCCCCCAAAGAGTTTGAAAAAGAAAGAGAAAATATAAACGGCAGTCTGTGGGTGCTAGCCCCAAGTCAGAGGCATGAGAATCCCACAAACAGATTTTCCAGGACACAGAACTGAACCAATACCAGGTTAATTAAAAAAAAGAACTTTTATTATCAAAACAATACTCCTGTTGCAAGCATAATGACCAGATGGAACAAGTCACTAATTAATATACTCTTGGGGACTCCCATGGGCTCAAGACTTCGTTACAAACGGGAGGAAAACCCATTTCTAACAGCACAGACAACAGATCCAAAGGCCCACAACAGAAAGCAATAAAATCTGACAGATTTATCTATACGTTACCCTACTTACACATGATGAAGAGTCTTTTCTTGGAGAGAGACATGTCTTCTGTCTCCCTCAGTATCTCGAGAACAAACTGGAGCAGAGACAAAGGAGGGAAAACCCCAAAATTCCTTTGTCTCAGTTTGAAATCCCTATCTGCATTTCTATTGGCTGAATGCTCATCCCTCATGGTTATGACAGGTGTGTAACCTGTCCATTAAATCAGCCTCTGTACCCAATGACTAGACGATAGCTAATGTGATGCCAATATTTAAAAAGGGCTCTAGAGGCGATCCTGGCAATTACAGGCCGGTAAGTCTGCCCCAGAGCCTCAGCTCACGGGAATCAGCGCAGATCCAGTGGGTCCCAGCTGGGGCCTAGGCCAGTGATTTCAGGGGAGCTGCGGTTCTATTCACCCCAGCTGGGGATCTGGTCTGTATTTCACCCTTGTTCATTTCCTGGCATCTGTCAGGTCCCCCTCTCAGCTCTGTTCTCCAGCCCCTCCATTGCTCCCATCCAGCTGTGACCTGACGCCCCTCTGCCCATCCTGCTCCAACAGATCGTTAACACTTGTCACTAACGATGGGGGTCTCAGCTTCCCCAGTCAGGCCCCAGCTCCGAGTTTCACCACACGGACGACAAGAACTTCACCCTCCACCCTGACCGTGATCCCAAACAGAGTCCTTCCCTGCATGTCACCCGACAGTCTCTGCTGGAGAAGCCAAGACAGGATGCTCCATGGCAGTGTGTGTGTGGGGGGGGTGGGGGGGAATTTGGAAAGGTCTAGGGGTTAATGACCCTGTTATCCTAGGAGAGCTGGAAGGCAGGTTAGCTGGCCAGGCTGGAAACCGACCCAAGTGTCTTGAGGCACAGCTGGTCTGCAGAAGAGACAGGGCTGGTAAGCACTGGCCCGTTCAGGGTTTGGTCACTGGGCTAGACAAGCGTTGAAGATGAGGTCACTGCTGGGCAGCAGTGCGGCCTAGTGGATAGAGCAGACAGGGACCCAGGAGATCTGGATCACCAGATCAGAGCCAGGGATCACTACTGTTGCCCGGACATTAAAGGTGTCTGCTAAGCACAAGCTGAGTCTGTTTTTTTGTTGGTGGGCCACATGGGGCTCAGGATTCGGGGCCCCTGAGTTATCCCTGGCTTTGAGCCGTTATGTGTCCCTAGTCAAGTCTCTGCCTCTTTCTGTGCCTCAGTGTTTCCTCGCTCTTCATTTCCAGCTTTACTTACACTGGGATCTCCTTGGGGCAGAGACTGCCTCTCGCTGTGTGTCCGAGTGCTCAGGGACGGGTTTACAATGAAATGTACAGTGCCCTGGCATGGGGCCTCCCAACAATATGGGATCCCCAGGGCCAGGCAGTTTAGCACTGGGTCTGGCACCCCCCCACACATCACAGGAAGCGGTCACTCTGTGGGGGAGGGTAGTCCCTCTGCAGCAGTCTTTCTTAGACTTTTTAAAACCGAGAAACACCAAACAAGAATTTTTTTTTAAATGCAGAACACCAAGGATTTTTTGTTGAGCAAAAAAAGGCTAGGGAAAAAAAAGTTTGGGGGAAAGTTGTTGATGAAAACAAGGGTCGGAACACAGTTTAAGAAACACAGAGAGGGATGTGTGGGGAGCAGGAGAACAGAGAAGTTGAGAAGTTCACTTGCAGGCTGCACCCTCAGGAGAGCCAGCAGGAGGCGACAAGTACAAACAGAGCCCAGGAGGGTGAACTCAGGCGGCTAATGGAACTGTGCCCCCCACCTCTCACCTTCAGGTGGACACATGTGGGGCTCTGCCATGGGGCCCCGATCTCAGCGGGTATCTAAGTACTGATGTTACACAAATAAGTAGTTAGGGGATGTGCGTGTGCATGACTGTTTGCACTTTGGCTAGTCAGGAATTGTGAGTGGGGATTGTGCATGGTCAGGAAGCAAACAGCCTGGCTCTTGGTTCACTCTTTCAGACACCAGTAAGCCCCTGTGAGCCATGCTCTTTCACAGAGAAGAGAAACATGCATGCTGAGCCCTGTGATTTTTGGCATGTGAGTGGAGAGTCTTCACTTCACCGACATCAGCCAGTGAGGGAAAGATGAGGAGGTTAGTGGAATAAGCTAAGAGAGAGACACCATCCTGTGACAGGAGACCTCTGCTGCCTCAGTTTCCCTGCTGGGTTGGAAGGGCTAGTCACATGGAAACTGTCAAAGTCAGACAGGACTCACAGATTTGGCAGACTGCTCTGTTTATTTCAGCAAAGCTTTGCTAAAATGCATGGAGAAAATGTGAGTACCCTACAAGGTTCAAACCCCTTGATTTTATACAGTCAAAAGGCCAAGTTAACAAGATCAAAGGGTGTGGCAAAACTTCACATTATTAGTGTGGTTAAGTATCTTCATTTCAATATTAAGCACACAGCAATCTCCTGGCTATATCTCCCTGATTATCTGGAATTGTTTCCTGTCTAACACTTAATGTTCCTTTTCCTGTTAAACTCAGGCCCAAATTGGCTAGCACCTTGATCTGCATACCTACAATCAACATTAACATACTTTTCTTCTTTCTCTTAAAAAGACAAACAGAATTCCTTCAACTTATTCAGTTATTACAGCACAATTCATCTTTCTCTTACAGTATAATTCTTTCTACTTTCACAAAACTTAAGATTTACAAAATGAAAGCTACCTTGAAGTTGGATAACTTATTTTATATTGCTTTTATTTGCATATTTTCTATCACCATAATTATAATCAGGGCTCGCCAGTGGTGCAGAATTGCACGCTGCACATGCACAGACTGTGCTGCGCATGCACCGCCCGCCCTGCAGATCTGAATAAAATGCAATAGTGACCTGATTTCTACCCCAAGGCACCACTTTTAATGAGCAATGGCAGTCCAGGAATAGAACGACTAAAACGCCGCTCAGCAGAAGACCAGGCGATGGGCGACTTTTTTGTTTTAGCTCCCACAAAAACGTTTTTGTTTTTGTTTCAGTAGCCCGGCTCTTGTGGTTATTAAGACTAAACACCGGGGTGCCCTCAGCTTGGGAGGGCTCCGGGGTCTCGCTCTCTCCTGCGAGCTCAAGGACCATCAGCACAGTCTCCGTCTTTTCCCTTTGGGAGCGGTTCCAATCCTTTTAGCCAGGCCGGGCACTGGCCGCAGGTTCCGTCCAACCCGCCCCTTGCTGAAAGGGCTGTGTGGAAAATGCAACTCCCTGGACCGCAGCCAGTTGGCCCTCGGAGGGGGGGGGGAGAGACAGACCTTTCGTCAGACCCCAAACGGGCCGGCACAGTAGCCTCTTCCAGACCAGAGTCCCTCTTCTAGTCCAGATTGAGGGCCTGCTGGAACATCCCATGATAAAACCTCCACGTGAAATCCCTGGAGCGCCCCACGCCCGCAAAGGGGCCCGTGGGAGGTAGAGACTCCTCGGGGGGGTCCTTCAATGAGTGTCTCTCTGCCTTGCTGCTGTCTCATCACTGGACTCTGCTTTCTGGTTTCTGCACGGGTTTGCTGCAGATCCAGCGTCCCGTCTCTGCACAGCCGGTGCTGCCCACGTCGTTGTGGTTCAGAAAAGCGCAGTGTTCTTCTCCTCCAACTAGAAACCTGCCACAGAAAACAGGCGATTACAAAAAGCCAGCACAGCTTCCCCTAGCAGTGAAAATCCAGCCCCAGGTCACGCTGCACATCTGTGGGGGGACCAAGTGTAACCCAGGCCCCTAACAGGGAGCTATTGTAACTACCAGCAGGCGGATTTGAACCTGGGACCTGTGAACCTTAGTAGAGGAGTGTCTATCTTCTGAGTTAGAAGCCAGCTGACTCCCAGCCCAGCCTATAGAGGTCTCTTGGTCTTTTCTGGTGCTGTGGTCTAGGTGCCACTGCATGAGACAGTGACCCACTAGGGCTACATATATACCACACCTCTCTGTCGACAGATGTAGAATAGGCAGGTCGAAATTGCTAATGAAGCAGGGATTTAAATATCTCATGTGTCATTTGCATAAACATGGCCACCGCTTTTTTTTCGACACAGAGTTTTGTCGACAAAAAACGGCAGATCTGTCAACAATAAACCTTTTTTGACGGCTCCTGTATGCTTCAAAAAATGAGGCTTATAGGATGTGTCGAAAAAGGGTTTATTGTCGACAGAGCCACATCTAGACTGCCGATTTATCGACAAAACTCCATGTCGAAAATAAGTGGTGGCCATGTTTATGCTAATGAAGCACGGGATATTTAAATCCCCGCTTCATTAGCAGTTTTGACCTGCCTAATCTACATCTCTCTGTAGACAGAGATGTGTAGTCTGGACATAGCCTAGGTTATGGGTTACACTATCTCTTTAAGAGCCCCCGGAGGTGGAGGTAGGAGTGAGTTGAGCGTTACCGACAGATTTAGCCCTGAACACACAGAAGTTTCTGGAGTTGGGGGTGGTAGTTTGGGGTCAGACTCCATGACCCGGCAGGCAGGGCGGCTGCTTTTCTAAGGCCTGTGGGGAGCTGGCAGAAGCAAGTCATGATGTTGTTAACTCTACGGCTACACTACAAGTTTTCTCGGCAAACAATATGCTAATGAGGGACTCATTTGCATGAGTCACGATCTCATTTGCATATTTTCTGCCGATCCGTTTTTGCACTAGGGTTTTTGTGCAAACGGACCTTTTCTTTTGGCACAAAACTCCCTTTTCCCGCAAGATCGGAAAACCTCCTTTTCGGCACGCAACATGGCGGACACATTCAAAACGGCCAGGGCCAGCGCAGCAGAGGGGGAGCCAGAGAGCCACGGAGAGTTCTATGGGGAGAGGGTTATAACACCCCATAGAACGTTCGGGTACATGGGATGAAAAACTCATGGGAATTAGGGGGACACTAAGGCGACAGTGGGCGCTGGACCCCGCTCGGACATAGGGGTTCCAGGCCAGACTGAACCGCCACAGTGGGTTATAAAATAACTGTTCGGTTGTAGGAATTTGATTAGGGCTATGTCTAGACTGCAAGCCTCTTTCGAAAGAGGCTTTTTCGAAAGATACTTTTGAAAAAGCCTCTTTCGAAAAAGAGCATCTAGACTGCAAGCGGAACTTTCGAAAAAGCAAGCCCCTTTTTCGAAAGGCAGTCTGGATGCTCTCTTTTGAAAAACCCCTGTTTGCATTCAAGAACGCCTTTTTTCAAAAGAGCACTTTCGAAAAAAGGCGTTCTTCCTCGTAAATTGAGGTTTACCACCGTCGAAAGAAAAGCCGCGTTCTTTCGATTTAATTTCGAAAGAACGCGGCTGCAGTCTAGACGCAGGTGAAGTTTTTTTCGGAAAAAGGCTACTTTTTCCGAAAAAAAACCCTGAGTCTGGACACAGCCTAGTTGTTTAAGCTTCTATAAAGTGATTTCATTAAATTAGTTTCCTTTGGAACTGGAGGCTGGCACTGTGCAATCCTTGCTGAAGTTCCTTACAGATTAAACTCTGGGTCTCCAGTTACTATCTATAGAAGTGGGGGGCGGGAGGGGGGGTGACTGAAGAAAGGCAGTGATGTCTGGCCCACCCAGGCACTGAACCCCCATGCCCCAAATCACAGCTCCAGGGTGTAACCACAAGGCCAGTCTTGTGTTATAAACATCAACTGCAACATGTACTGAGTTCATACAAGCAAAAGGGGACTCACAAGTTGTTGAATTTGGTGCCATTGGCCCATTTCCAGGGCTGGCCCGGTTCCCTCTGGAGTCCGATCCAGTGGTCAAAGGATCCTTTATAGCGCATCAGGAAATCCTGTGGTCAAAACATAAAAGCAAATGCACCTTAGACACTCGCTGCCTCTCCGGGTTCTCTGCAACCTACTCGAGACACTGGGCAGGGGGTCTGGGAAGTTTACACCAAGAACTGACCCCCTCACGCAGTGGGAAGTGTGTATGTTGCCCTGTTTCAGGACAGGAACAAATGTCAAACGATTGGAAGTTCCAGGCCGATGCAAATTCCGATTTTCAAACAGCTCCGTTAAGAAGAAGCTTCTAGCTCAACTTCTCAGCTGCATCCAGACCTTCAACGCTGCTGCGTTCTGACCAAATCCCCTAATTTTACTGAGAATTTCCTGCTGTTTGCTTCTTCTCGCCTTCCCCGCTCCTAGAGTCAGGGGATTACAAGAGGCTCTCGTCTTTCGTTTAAAAGGGGAGTTTCTAGCCCTCCTGGCTGCAGAGAAAACTTGTCAGTGGGAATTCCCTGGGAGCAGAGGGTCGGCACATTAGCCCCACATGGCTCCAACTTAACCCACCGTGTGGGGACGATGGCGCGTGGGTGGAGTACTCGGTGCTCTGCCTGTTCTGGGCTAGGGGAAGTTGCCCTAAATACAAGCAGCATCCGGGACCAGGCCAGTCCCAGGCTAAGGTCAGCCTAGAGCCACCTTTGCCACCCGTACCCCGTGCAGCCCAGAATCTGTCTCACCATCTCCTGCTGCGAGTCAATCCCAGCCAGGGAGGCGTCATGGGCAGAGCAGTTCTTTTGGCTGTCGGTCCAGGTCGCTTCCAGCTCTGAGAAATAGTAACACTTCCCCCGGTACCGGACCCAGTCCTCAGGGCAGGCGGCCGCTGGGCAGGCGGCACCAGTCAGGCACGGCTCACAGGTCTTGGCTGGAGAAGACAAAGCAGCAGGGTGAGAGATTTGCCCGTTTCCCTCTGGGGAACAATCCCCCCAGTGACACCGTAACATGGTGCACCCCCCCCCCACCCGTACTCAGGGCAAGCTGAGCTTGTGCCGAGACATGTTCCCCTTTGCAACAGGGCCTCATCCCTCCCCTTCCCAGTGACACCGGCTGTGAATTCGGAGCCACATTTCCAGCGCTGGCCTCCTTTGCTGTGGCCCCGGTTTTGCCCCCTGCAAGCTCCGGCACTGACAGTGAGACCCCCAACTTGCACCTGCACGTCAGGCATTTCCGTATCTGCCTGGCCAGGCTGCTCTGTGGGAAGGGGAACACCACCAGGGCAAGGGGCTGAGCACAAAACTGTGCTCTGTGGGAAGGCCCACAGCGTGGGGCATGTGTGGGATGAACCAACCAACGAGCTAATCATAAGCAACCAGCAGGTGGCGCTCTTCTAACACGAGACGTCTATGACCCTGGCTGGATTGATGTAGCTGGGATTGGTCCTGTCTTGGGCAGGGGGCTGGACTTGAGGAGGTCTCTTCCAGCTGTATGATTCTACGTGTTGGTCCCAGGTAGGAAAGAAGAAATCCCTACCTCTGTATGAAACATCTATACGCTGTTTGTACGACCAGGGTGAGTCAGTGCTGGATTCAAATCCCTATTGTTTGCATTGTTGTTTGTTGGCTTAAGTAACCTACTTTGATCTGTGTGTTGTCCCTTACAATCATCACAAACTACTTTTGTAGTTAAGAAAACCTATTTTACATTGTTCCCCTAAAGCAGTGCAGCTTTGAGGGTTTGTCTATACTAGCATCCTCTTTCGAGAGAGGGATGCAATTGTCGATGTTCGAAATGGCAAATGAAGCTGGGATTTAAATATCCCCCGTTTCATTTGCATATTCACGGACGGGCGCTATTTCGAAATACTTTATTTCAAAATACAAAACGCTGCGTAGACGCGGCTATTCCAAAAGAAAACCCTTCTTCCAAAATCACTGTTAAACCTGTGGTTGGATAAGGAATAAGGGTTATTTCAGAAGAAGCATGCCTTATTTCGAAGTGGCATTTGTCCACGAATATGCAGCGCGGGATAGTTAAATCCCAGCTTCCCTTGCAATTTTGAACGTCTACATTTGCATCCCGCTCTCAAAAGAGGATGCAAGTATAGACAAACACTGAGTGAAGTGCCTGGAGGGGAAATCTCAGCTCAGGAAGAAGACTGGGGGAAAGGACACGGGGCAACTCACCCAACCTCCAGGGCCCATACGAGCCGAGTCACCCAGCAGGCCTGAGGGTGACCTTCTAACCTTACCAGTCCCAAACGGGGGTGAAGCAGATACCTCAGGGTTGGAAAACCACCCAGGGCAGTCGACCAAGCCCTGCTCCTGTTGGCACCGGGGGCTTTGGGAGGACCAGAAACAACCGATTTGCATATTCATCATTTGCTTAATGAAGATGCAGATAAATGTTACCGGTCCTCCAAAAGCTTGTGCACGGGTTTACTGGTCCCCAGTATCAAACGGATCGGGAACCACTGCAATAGATCATTGTAGTGTAGACATAGCCTAGGTTCCAGCTGCTCGAGCTGGAGAGGTTCCTACACTAAAGTTCCAGAGGCCCCAGGTTCAAATCCACCCAGTGGCCGTTACAAGTGGGCTTCAGGAGACTTCATCCCACACCTGTAACCACTACCAGGTGGATTTGAACCTGGGCCCTTTGGAACTTTAGCGGAGGAACCTCTCCAGCTTGAGCAAGAAAACCAGTGTGCTCTCAGCGCAGGCTGCAACGCTCCCTTGCTCTTAGCTCTCTCTGTAAGGGGTCTAAGTGCCACTATATGGGACAGTGACCCACACTAGGTCTGTGGGTTACACTTGCTCACTTTCCTTTGTAAAAACAACAGACTGGGTAATAACTCATTCTGGCCTCTGACCAGGGCAGGCGGGCACAGATCTGGGGCCCTAGGTTGGAGAGCTCAGAGTGTTTTAGATGGAGGCTGTCTCTAGTGCCAGTTCTTGAGGGGCTGCAGAGAAGCATTCGTGTGACACAGCCAGGGGTCTCTCTGCCTGTGTAAATATCTGGGCGAGTGCAGGACCTGGTGCGGTTTGCAGCCAAAGCATCATAGGGCTGAAAGGGAGCCCAGACTGGTACGTTCACAGGGGCTCAGCGGTGCCCTAGTTCGAGACTGTCCCTGGGGAGTCCTTCCCACTGCCCCCTTCCATCAACCAGGCCTCCGTGGCGTGAGGGGAGGGCTGCAGCCAGGCTGGGTTGTGTGCTTGGGGGAAAGCGGGGGGAAGTCAGGCAGGCCTGTGGCGTTGCTGGCGTGGAGCGTGGAGACGGGGCCTGTGCGGGCGCCACACTCACCTCTCCAGGCCGCGAGGATGATGATGAGGATGATGACAACGCTGACCAGGACAACATTGAGAAGGAGGCTTTTAACTGCCCAGCGACGTGCCCATGGTTTCAGATCTGCCCACAAACCTGCAATAGAAATCACCATGAATACCGGTGCGGCTGCTATGATGGGAGGGGGTTACACTATTAGCAGCAGGGGCTTGTTTTTTAAAGGGGGGGATATTTTGTAAATAGAAATGGAGAGAGTGGGGGAGGTCCAGGTGGGATAGTAGGAAAAACGATTTCCCTAGGCTAGTGTAATCTCCATCCCTAGGGGTGTTTAAGTCTCCACTTGACCAAGCCATGATTGAGTTGGGGTTGGTCCTGCTTTGGGCAGGGGGCTGGACTTCTGAGGTCTCCTCTACCCTGGGATTCTATGATTAAGAACATAAGAGCGGCCACACTGGGTCAGACCAAAGGCCCATCCAGTCCGGTGTCCTGTCGGCCGACAGTAGCCAGCGCCAGGCGCCCCAGAGGGAGTAAACAAAACAGGGAATCATCCAGTGATCTCTCTCCTGCCATCCATCTCCACCCTCTGACACACAGAGGCTAGGGACCCCGTTCTTTACCCATCCGGACTAACAGCCATTGACGGACCTAACCTCTATGAATGTACAGGCAGTCCCCGACTTACGCAGATCCGACTTATGACGGATCCGCAGTTATGAACAGGGCTGCCCCGGAGGACACGGACTGCGGGACCTCGCGGTCCTGCCGCCCGTGTACTCCAGGGCTTTCTCCGCGTCTCCCTAGTCTGCAGACCAGGAAGACGCGGAGCAAAGCCTCGGGGAAGCCGGCAGCGGAGCAGTCCAGGTGCGCCTGGGGTGCCCCGCTGCCCGAGCCCCCCCGCAGCTTTGCAAAGCCGCGGGGGGGGGGGGGGGAGGGTCAGGCAGCCCAGGCGTGCCTGAACTGCTCCGCTGCCGGCTTCCCCGCAGCTTTGCAAAGCCGCGGGGGGGGGGGGGGGAGGGTCAGGCAGCCCAGGCGTGCCTGAACTGCTCCGCTGCCGGCTTCCCCGCAGCTTTGCAAAGCCGCGGGGGGGGGGGGGGGAGGGTCAGGCAGCCCAGGCGTGCCTGAACTGCTCCGCTGCCGGCTTCCCCGCAGCTTTGCAAAGCCGCGGGGGGGGGGGGGGGAGGGTCAGGCAGCCCAGGCGTGCCTGAACTGCTCCGCTGCCGGCTTCCCCGCAGCTTTGCAAAGCCGCGGGGGGGGGGGGGGGAGGGTCAGGCAGCCCAGGCGTGCCTGAACTGCTCCGCTGCCGGCTTCCCCGCAGCTTTGCAAAGCCGCGGGGGGGGGGGGGGGAGGGTCAGGCAGCCCAGGCGTGCCTGAACTGCTCCGCTGCCGGCTTCCCCGCAGCTTTGCAAAGCCGCGGGGGGGGGGGGGGGAGGGTCAGGCAGCCCAGGCGTGCCTGAACTGCTCCGCTGCCGGCTTCCCCGCAGCTTTGCAAAGCCGCGGGGGGGGGGGGGGGAGGGTCAGGCAGCCCAGGCGTGCCTGAACTGCTCCGCTGCCGGCTTCCCCGCAGCTTTGCAAAGCCGCGGGGGGGGGGGGGGGAGGGTCAGGCAGCCCAGGCGTGCCTGAACTGCTCCGCTGCCGGCTTCCCCGCAGCTTTGCAAAGCCGCGGGGGGGGGGGGGGGAGGGTCAGGCAGCCCAGGCGTGCCTGAACTGCTCCGCTGCCGGCTTCCCCGCAGCTTTGCAAAGCCGCGGGGGGGGGGGGGGGAGGGTCAGGCAGCCCAGGCGTGCCTGAACTGCTCCGCTGCCGGCTTCCCCGCAGCTTTGCAAAGCCGCGGGGGGGGGGGGGGGAGGGTCAGGCAGCCCAGGCGTGCCTGAACTGCTCCGCTGCCGGCTTCCCCGCAGCTTTGCAAAGCCGCGGGGGGGGGGGGGGGAGGGTCAGGCAGCCCAGGCGTGCCTGAACTGCTCCGCTGCCGGCTTCCCCGCAGCTTTGCAAAGCCGCGGGGGGGGGGGGGGGGGGGGGGGGGGGGTGCTTTCAACTTGGGTTTCAATGTGAGATTTTCAGAGGGTTGCCTTCTAAGCAGCCCAGTGTTTATCTACAGAGAGAGAGGATGGCGAGGGAAGCTCAGTTTGGCCACTGGAGGGAGACAAAGACCTTGCTGCCTTAATGCTGGTGCTTGGTGGAAAAGACGACAGGGGAGAGGTACCCAAACTGTACCTGCAGGATCAATTTTCCTGCTGTTTCCACTCGGTGGAGGGATGGCCACATGAGCCTCTCCATTCTGTGTCAGTTGGGTTTTCGGGGACCCCAGGAATGCACCGTTCTCCATCTTCTCAGCGGGACACGACCCGTTCGCACCCGATTCCTTCTGTGACAGACGCGTGGGCTCCAAAAGCGGAGACATGTTCACCTGCAGCTAGAGGTTGCTAGGGGCTGGCCGGCTTTTCAAAGCAGCTGTCTCGATGACAGCTTGGGCGCACTCTGGCTATGTGGGGTGATCGGGGAAACCCTCTTTCAAATATAATTTGATGGTGAGTGTGGGCGGAATGCCCCGGCCAGCCAGGCTGGGTCTGAGCCGGGTTCTAACGAGCTGCTCCAAAGCTCTCCTGGGCGCTGCTTTCAGGATCAACCCAACCAGCTCCAGATGCTGAATGATCCTGGCTCCGTGTCTCTTTCCTGGCGCTCGGCGGGGGCTGCGCAGGTGGGTTCCTGCGGAGAGAATTGCCAGGTCACGGGCTGGCTGGTGGCGCTGGTTTATCTGCCCAGCCCCAGCCCTGCCCAGCTGGGGCAGGTGGAGCCGACAGAGCTGGGGCTGCCCTGGTCTCTCCATTCTCTGCTGCAGGCTCCCAAAGCCCCTGACAGACACAGGGAGGCGCGTGTTGGACGGGGCCAGTCCCATGGGCAGAGAGTGGAGCCAGCCCCCTGGTGGGTGTAACCTGGGGTAGCCCCACTGAAACCCCTGAGCTCTGCCCCCCAGCTGGTGAAATGAGCCAGCGCTGCCTTCGGGTCAGATCCTCAGCTCTGACTGGTGAGCTCTGGTGCCTCTGGTGCCAATAGTTACACAAAGTTGTTGTGGGTCAGTTTGAGCACCTGGAATTTTGTGTGTGTGGGGGGGGGGTCCCTGCTTTCTGCTCCCTGGGGGTTACCCAGGAAGTCCTTGTAAACCTGGTAGCAGCTGAGTTGTCAGCTCCCGTCTCCACCAGCCGCCACTTTCAGCAGGGGAGGCAGGACCCCCCTGTACTGCAATGGAAAAACCTGCCCCCAGGACCGATTCCTCCCTCACCCCCCTTGGTTACTAGCTGAGACTTGTGCCTTGCCCCTAAGAGCCCTTCCCACTCCAGCTTACTGCCGGTTGTAAGTCTGCCTGGTCCCTTCATGCCTAGAAATGCCAGGAGTTGAGCATGAGTCAGAAAGAAAGGTCAGTGAGTTCTTGTGGCAGGGAGTTCCACAGGCTGCTGTGCCTTGCAGGAAAACTCATTTCCTTTCATCAGATTTGAATTTGCCGCCTTTTCAAATATAGAATGCCGCCGGATTAGAACTCTCCCCTCACTATTATATACTGTATTATCACCATCCCACCGACCGTGATGCCAGTCCGGTGATGGTGGGAATGAAGCATTAATGGTCCATTCACACTGTGCTGTAAACTGTGGTCTATGGGATCTGGGTTCAGGGACTTGTGTCCAAGCCCACACACATGAGCGTCCGCACTGCACAACCAACCGGGGCTTGCAATCGCTGGCCCTGGCTCTCCCCACCCGGCCAATGGGCCACACGGCACCGCACAGACCTTCTGACGGGTGCGCTGCTGGAGCTGCGTCCACACTGCAAAGTGACAGGGCTCAGACAGGAGTCACACCAAGGGTACGTCTAGACGACAGGCTTTTGTCGACAGAAGTTTTGTCGACAGATACTTCTGTCGACAAAGAGCGTCTACACTACATTCAGTTCTGTCGACGAAGCAAGCTGCTTTGTCGACATGGTAGTGTGGACGCAAAGGACAGTTTACAGGCAATAACACCTTCTGTCGACAGAAACTCTGTCGACAGAAGGTGTTATGCCTCGTAAAATGAGGTTTACCAGCGTCAACAAAACTGCTGAGTTCTGTCGACGTTATATCGACAGAACTCAGCAGTAGTGTAGTATAAAAGGGGCCATGTAGGGTGTTGAATAGAAGCTCACTGTCTGCTAATCCTATGTAGGCTAGTCATGTGATGGTAGAATGTCTGTGTGTGTAGTTAGGAACCTGAGTATTCACTGACCGGGGGCAGACTGATCTGTGTGTAGACTGAAGGGGGCAGGAGTGCTAATCTGATTTCATCCCTGAGCTGACGGTGCCGTGTAGGTCATTAAACACCAACCAGTCGATCGGGATCTGCTGGCAGATGTTGGAGCTGGGATGGGGAGCCTGACAGGTTTGGCCGGGAGGCTGTCAAGTGCCAGCACTTCATTTGCCCCTCTCAGCACAGCCACCGCCCTCTGCCTTGGAGCTGCCGCCCAGCCCTGGGAGCTACCTGCTTGCTGTGCAGGGCAGAGGAAGAAGAGGAAGGGGGGGGTGCTGATGTCAGGGTGGCCCTTTCCCCACCCTGCACCCCATCGCCACAGAGCAGAGGGGGGCAGGGATGGAGGGAGTTTGCTGGCTGCTTTTGGAAGTGGTACAAGGCCAGGGGAGGGGTGAGCCTGACTTAGCCCCCTATATCACCCCCCAGAAGCCAGCTGTGGTAAGCAGTGCCCAGCTGGAGCCTGCATTCCGAACCCCTTCCTGAAACCCTCCTGCACCCCAAACCCCTGGCCCCAAACTCCCTCCCAGAGCCAGCACCCCCTCCTGCACCTCAACTCCCTGCCCCAGGCTCAGCTCAGAGCCCCTCCCACACTCCGGATCCTTTAACTCAAGACCAGAGACTGCATCCCCCCTCCTCTGCCCCCCAGCCCGATAAAAGTGAGGGAGGAGGGAAGCAGGGCAAGAGTGTTTGGGTTGGGAGGTGGATCCTGGATTGCCCTTAAATTCAAAAAGGGATCTCGTGCTTGAAAAAGGTTGGAGACCCCGGATGTAGATGCACCCGGAGAGTCGCTTTCTCCCACCAGGCACAAAGGAAGATCTTTGCT